GCTGTTACATTAATCCTTCATTGATTATCAGACCTTGGTGCCAAAATCTCCATGAAGGTCAAGATCCATCCTTTAAGGCACAGTAGTGTGTTCAGTGAAGCTTACTGATAATTTCAGAAGTTTGAGACTCCAGTTTAGAAGCACTAGCAGATAGTGGGACTGTTGGAATTAGAAACTCTGAGAGTCACTGTCTTTGCAAAATGGACATCCCTCAGGGACAGGATGCAGCACCACATTGGAGCCAGAACAGAAATTCACTCAGTGATGGAATTCATCCAGGTCCAGTGAGATGGACCTGGGTCATCAAAGAAGGGTTTGTGGTCACTATCCTCTGCTTAAAAAGCCAAAGATAATGCACCTTATCTTTTATAAAGAGCACCTGAATCTTCAAAGATTAGCAAGTAAACGGTGGACATGTATATTAACATGGCTAAACCCTTATTAAAAATGGAATGTTTCCTGCCATCCACTAGGAGGCATGCTGGTGTCATCCCAGAACTACCTACTTTTTATGTGATTTATTCTTAAACTCTAGAGCTGTTAGAATAATAAAGCAAAAGCATAGTGTGAGCTCCCTGAATAAAAGCTTCTATATTTAAGTGCCTATGGGTGGAAATATTCCAGAGGTGTTATGTATTCAAAATTGCTATTTTTATATACTCTTGGTATTTAAAATGCAAAGACATGTGAGCTCCAAAGGAATGCTTGCAAAGTAAACTAGACATGCCAAAAAGAGGGGATGAGAACTTAAAGATCAGAGTGATTACAGAAGAATTAATGGGATTCCAAACTGATTTGGGAATTTGAAGGAAATTTACCAGTTTATAATTTATATTACTAAGGACACCATTTCCCCTCACCTCCCCTTTTTTTAATCTTCCATTGTATTTATAGTGGAAATAATATTAAAATCTAAGAGATGGATGTCCAGAGGAATTTCTTTGTGACTCTGATTGGTATTAAAATAGAATAAATTTTATTATCAAAAGATGATTGGCTATTTATTTATATACATAGTCATTTAAAATACATTCTGTAGCTTACCAATGAAGGATATGACTTGTTCCCAGAAAATCTGATGGGAATGAGACCTAGAAGTCAGGTGACCTGTCCAGTGTTATTCAGCTAGACAGTGGCTGAGCTGGGACTTGAACCCAGAACTGGGTATGGTAATCCCACCTTGTTTTTCTCACGTCTTTTTTTCTGAGTTTCTATTCTCTCTAGGTGAATCAACGGGCTCTCTTCCAGAAGAGAGCGCAGAATTTTGTTTTGTGGGTCATATTAGCAGAACACTGTATTTTTTTGTTACGATATCCTTATCAATCTACAGGCCTTATTCAAATTTTGCCAGTTGTCCTAAAACTGTTATACCAAAATGGAAAACAATTTTCTGGTCCAGGATCCAATCCAGGATCTTGTGTTGCATCTAGTTGTCATGAGTCTTTAGTTCCTCAGTCTTTGTTTTATATTACCTTGATATCTTGAAAAGTGCAAGCTGGTTACGTTGTTGAGCCTCCCAAGTTGGGTTTGTCTGATATTTCTCAAGATTAGGTTCAGGTTATGATTTTTGGCAGGAATACAACAAAAGAGATGCTGCCTTCTCAGTTTAACACATCAGGGGGCGTAATTTTTCCCTGTTTGGGCAGAGGTATTTTCAGGTTATGTAAAATATTCTGTTTCTCATCAAACTCTCACCCTCTGGTTTTATTATCTATTTATGATTCTTTCCCAGGTCAGTTACTACTATGATGGTTACAAATGGCAACTTTTCTAATTCCATCATTTCCTCTACTTCACTGTTCCACAGTAGGGTTGGTATTCTAGTGTAAGGAAGCTCTTATCTGTGTGGACTCTTGGATTGTTATTTTATTCTATAGATTATACTCCTTTATCATCATTATCATTATTTTAATAAATTTAATAATTATCATTATTTTAATGCTCACGTGTCCCATATTTGGCCAACGGAGGAGACCCTTAAAGCTGGCTCCTGCATCCTTTCAGCATGTCCTCATTATTCTTTTAGCACTTCTTTAATTTCTGGCAGGAGATACTCCAGGTTCATCTTGTGCTTCCCAGTCCTGAGATTCACCATTTCTTCAAGGAGCCTGAGTTCCTTTGGGTGGAGAATGGTATTTAGCAACTAAAATT